CTCTCTCTCTCTCTCTCTCTCTCTCTCTCTCTCTCTCTCTCTCTCTCTCACACACACACACACACACACACACACACACACACACACACACAGACTGTAGCTGTCGCTAGTTCTTGGAAGCCAACCTCCACATGACAGGGACAGCAGTTCTCACTCTGGAGAAGGAGCCAAAGAGCCCTCCTTTCACTCTTAAGTTGGTGCTAAGCAAACAGTTACCAATCAATGAATTGATCTATCAGGGCTTCAGAAGCACTTCCATGGACTCGAAGAATAGAGGAGCCATCTCCGGCATGGCCGTTTTGCAGGCACACTTGACTCCCGGGAAACCGATTACTGCAGTCAGCTCCACCAGGAGTGGCGTATTCGGAGGGATCTTGGACGAGAGGTAAAGAGCGTCCTGGTTTGTGGCTGCCAGGTGGCGTCGGGCAATGAAGAAGATATTGTTGTTCAGTAGCTTTTCTAGCAGGGCATCAACATTGGAGATGACAGCGTTGGCGAGATCTTTGGACACCTCATTGGCATCGGGGAGGGATTTCCAGGTCTCCAAGAATGCGGACCTCTCCATCTTTCCCTCTTCAAGCAGAAGCGCATGTAGAGGAACCTTGTCAGCAAAGTACCAGACCGGCTGTTGCTGATTCTTGACCGCCACTTGCAAAAGGGAAGTGGGAGGTCCTTGAGAGAGGTTCTGGAAGAGGTTCATGGGGAGCAACGTGGAAGCGGACGAGCCTGGAGCGATAGCTGGGAGTTGCAGCGGAGCCCCGGCAAGAAGGCCGAATGTGTTCTTGTTGAACTGGATCATGAACCCATCCAGCACAAGGCCGCTGTTGTTCTTAAAAGTCAAATCGTAATAAACCTGTCTCTCTCTCCTCACGAGCTGCCCACTGATCTCAAGCCCCTGCCCAGCAGACGCTGTGAGCAAGACCGGCTTGGCAGGCATGGCGGGCTCTTCTGGGACGACGGCAGGCGCATCCAGACCCATCAGATCGCCAAGCAGATCACCGAGGGGAGACACCGCCGCAGGTGGAGCCGCGGAAGTCGACGCCACTGAAGGTGTTCGGGACGTCGAAGGACCGGTCTGTCCATGCTGACCTTGAGCGACCAATCCTCCCGGAGTTCCCACACCCCTCTCAATCCGCAGATGCTCCGGCACAGGCGCCGACACCTCGCCCGGACCTGCAGCTTCAGTATCCTCCTCTTCGTCTTCTGTCCGTTGCACAACCACCCTCGTCCTGCTGACGAACGCATCCGGCGGCTTGTGGTACACCGACGACAGCGTCGATATGTTCGCCAGCAGCTCATCCAACAAATTCGGCTCCAACTGATTTGCATCATCACTGATAACGGGTTTCTCGGCTAGGACAACGTCCTTGGCAGCCTCCGGGTCGGTCGACAGCAACCGCCAGTAAATGTAGGCTCGGTCTCTCAGATCCGGATTGTCAGTTTCCTGCGTAGCATTGTTGAGGACCACCTGAATCATCTCCTGCGCTCTCTCAATGGGTTTCTTCAGGAACAGTTTCACAGCGGCTGTGAGGAGCTGGAGCTGAACCTGAGGAGGCTCTTCAGGGAAACTTTCAAGAAAGTTCTCCAACAGTTCATCAGCGTTGTCGATTCGCTCTGCGTATTCACCAATGATCCAGATCATGGAGGCCTTGGCTTCCGGCTCATCCAGCGTGTCCAAACTCTCGCACAGAGTGGCGATGATGGACTCGTAGGTGTTCGGATACTTCCTGAATATATCCTTAATGACGATAATCGCTTCCTGGACAACGTAGTTGACCTTGATTTTGATAAGTTCCAGGAGAACATTGATGCACCGCTCTGCAGCGCGGTCCAACTTGATGGCGCAGCGACCGATCGCGCGCACAGCCTTCCTGACGAAATCCACGTCCACCTCAGTGGCGTACTCCTTGAACTCCAAGAGCACCTGGTCGATATTCCGGTCAGATGCGAGCTTGATCATGATCTCCAACTTCTCCATCTTCACGTAGATCGGGTCATTGTACTTGCAAAAGAACACCTTGATTTCGTGCGCCAGAATGTTCAACCTTTTCTGCACAATGAGGTTGATGTTCCTGAGCGCCACGTACTGAATCTCGGGCTCAGACGACAGCAGAGTCACGAGAGGAGGAGCCATCTTCTTCATCAGGTTTCGAACCACGTCCGTGCTGGTAATCAGCTCCATGTTCTGCAAGATCACCTTCACCGCAGAAAGGACCACAGCGCAGTTCGCATGCTGCAGCCGCGGGGTGACACGCTCCACTATGTTCTCGGCTTCTCGCGCATCCTTCGCTTTGTACATCGACAGAGCGTCCAAGATAAACACCTGCCCCCACTCCGTACACTCGTTCAATGCTGCCAGCAGCTTGGCAAGGGTTTGGGTCGTGATCTCGAAGATGCTCTTCGTCGTGTTCTCCTGAATCTCCGCAAGAGCCGCCACCGCATTGGCCACAACCATGGGGTTGCTGTCGGCGATCAGTTCCCTCAGCGTGTCAAGGAACCCGCGATCTTCGACCAGCTCGGCATTGATGTCGAACAGCTTTGCCACACAGATCGCCGCCGTCTTCCGCACATAAGGGTCGTCGTCTTTCAAGCACCGCTGAAGGGGGTCGCACAGGTACTCCGTTATCTTGTCCACCCGGATGCACCCCATTGTCCTCACCGCCAATGCCCTGATCAGAGGATTAGGATCCTGGGAGTCTTTGACGAAGGTATTGACAGCAAGGATTGCCAGATCAGGCTGGCTCTTGGCATAATTGATGAGGTAAAGATACACGAGCTTTTTCAACTCCAGATTCTCCGTCTGCATACAATTCACCACGTCTGTGAAAAGCATCGAGACGTCCTTTCCGACGGTCATAGCTGCAATGACCTTCTTCACCGCATCTTTCCGCTTATCCTTGTACGGCGAATTGAGCTCCTCTTTGAGCTCATGAATTTCACCCTTCTTAGTGGTCGTGAAGTACTTTGAATCGTGCCCGCTCATCTTGACACGTGGCCTCAACCAACAACAGTATTCTTCTTAATTAGGAATTGACACGTGGCGTCGTCTCACAGAATCCACACGTGGCCTCAGAAACAAAAAACCCGTGAACGTTGTTGTCTTCCCCTTCGTGCCAGCCTCTCTCTTCTCCCCGACGCAGTCACAGGCCTCCTCCCTGCTGTCTGAAGGAGGTCCGAAGCTCCCGTTGATGTCAGGGAGGAAGGAGTCTCCCAGGAAAAGATCAACTCATGGCCGCCGATGCATACGACCCCTAACGCCGCCGCGGGCCTCCTCCCTGCTGTTCCCTGCTGTCTGAAGGAGGTCCGAAGCTCCCGTTGATATCAGGGAGGAAGGAGTCCCGCAGAAAAAGATCAAATCATGGCCGTCTAGGTCAAACGAAGAACATTCCACGCGCGCGCGCGCCCGTGAGCAGGCAAGAAACAAAGATGCGCACACGCGGTGGCGCAATTCATCCGAGTTGAACCAGAGCTGACGAATAGATCCGCGCGGCGCGCAGGCTGCGCACGTGCACGCGCAGAAATGAGAACCCCGGCGGCGAGAGGGGAGGGGAGCTGGGTGGCGCACCGCCCGTGAACGCGGGAGACGATGGATCCTCAGAGGAGCGCGGAACTCCACGGCAGCGGCGACGTCATTTACGCCTGTAAAAGAACAGTCTAAGCACGCGTTCCTTTGGAAGATATTTACCTTGGGTGGGAGGGTGGGTGTTGCGGGTTGTGGGGGGAAAACGGGGGGAAGGGGAGGAGGGGGGCGGGGGGGGGAAGGAAGGAAGGCTGTTGTGTCCAGGAGAGGGCGGGTATTAGGGTCACAAGGGAAATGGAATGGAGGGAGAGAAAGCTTTCCGCCTCTTCGTTTGCCTTTTTACTTCTTTTCTGTATTGGAGAGAAGGGGAGGTGATTTTCTTCATTACTTCCTTTCTGAGTATAATAACTAAAGAAAGAAAAATACTCAAAAGAAGATAACAAATAAACGGTTCAATCTAGGTTTCACGGAGTTCGACATTATAAGTGAAACAAGTGTGTAGGCCATTTTTCCCCTCTGCGCCTCTGCGAGGGTATCTTCAGAGACTTGTTAAGCAGGAAGAATAACGAGAACGATACGAATAATAATAATAATCAGAATCAGAATTTGAAGACGAAGAACAAGACGAATAATTCGAAGAAGAAGAAGAAGAAGAAGAATAGTGGAAACAGTGGCCAACTGCCTTTCGTACACGCTTCAATACTTCTTCCATACATAGCCGCGCGTACTAATCTCAGCTCACGCGCACATTCCCCGACGCGTTTCGATCGGTTGCGCTCCCATCATCCTCAGGGGATTAACCTCATGACCCTGCCTTGCGGCCCACCGACGAAGAAGAAGGAGAAGGAGAAGGAGAAGTAGAAGAATGCTTGGTGAGCAACGTGCTTTCCAATTTTACTCCACAGGTCAAAAACGTGTACTGGAAAGGCAGAGAAAGCGTGCGCATGTGCGCATGGACGTTTGGGGATCGCTTGGGTGGGAGAGGAGGCGGGGAAAGAGGACGCAACGTCCGGCGCGCAATGACACCTTCAGGTTCCCCCAACGTCATCGCCATCGCCAACGCTCGAGCAGTCCCACAACCTTCCCCCTTTTTTCATCTCTTTTTCCTTTTATGAAATTAGTATCCTTTCATTTAATCTAAAAATTTAAGTCGTCTCCCTTACGTTTTCTCCTCTCTCCTCACCTCCTTCAGGCTGAAAAAACACAGAATGACGACACTTGCGAGATCAAAGAGAAGTGCACTTCACAAAACCGAAAAAATAAAAGAAAGAGGAAGTCTGGAGAGTCACGCGAAACTCTATCCGACCGGAGGGAACACAACGTACCACCTCCCCCCAGAAAAAAAAAGGATAGAAAAAGGCTTTCTCGGACGATTGTATCGTGGAGAGCAGGTTTCCCATCTACGGCTCAAATCATGAAGAAGGTCGACGATCTGTGGCCAACTACAGCTACGTAATTATCAAAACTACCGTCACCATCCGAATAGAACGCCCCGTCATTATCGCTGCATCTGGACTGAAAGTTGTTCCAAATACAAGCTAAAATGACCGCGGCGTTCTATTCGGGTAAAGACAAATAGTCAAGGGTAACGACACGTGGACACAATACATCCAGACAATACAGGCCGCGCGCGAGAGCGCGTTTGTTGCGAAGTACGTCAAGTACATAACGACTTTGGGGGGGGGGAGGGAAGGGGAGGGGGGGGGAAAGGGGGGGGGGACCACCAACAAAGTGGCGGTATCCTGTGAGTTTGAGCGAAAGTGGTCATCGGGCGCGGTTCCGTTTATGCCGCATTTATAAGTACTCCTAGTTTACAAATGAGAAGCTCATTACTATCACTGAGCTTTCACGCAGAGGAGCTAATGAAATACGGTGCGTGATTATGAATACTGAAGAACGTACATGAGGCGTTTATCGACCCCTCACTGGGACTACCTCTCACGGAGGATGGCAGAGCAGACGGGGGGGAGAGGAGGCAAGGTGAAAAAAGGGAGGGAGGCCTGAATGCCGTGAAAAAACTAAGAAAAACAAGTCACGTCATCATCATACCCTAGAAAAGCACACAAATCTGCCGCTGCGATGAATGCAGCGGCTCGGTTCCATCATGTGCGAATTCCCCACTAGGATTCTTCTTCTCTATAAATTTCTTTTCTGAAGAATTACGGGAGGCAAGATGAAAAAAGGGATTCAAAAAAAAAAAAAAAGAAAAAAAAAAAAGAGAAAAAAAAGTGAGGGAGGCCTGAATGCACCGAAAGCACGGACATCTACAGCTGCGATGAATACAGCGGCTCGATTTCATCATTCACCAAATTCTCGCCTAAATTCTTCTCTAAAAATCTCTCTTCTGATCGATTTGCACGGCGCTGAACTACAGCCAACTCCATCTACCAATCGGCGCTCTCTAGGCGCTCTCTAGAATTGAGTGCTTCTCTAGGACCATGACGACGTGACATGCGTTTTTTTTTTCTTTCCGAGTAAGCATCAGTGCATTGAGCACTCAATCCCTTTTTCTTTTCGTTTTTCTTTTTTGCAAAAAAGAAATTCAAACCAAAAAGGCAAGGAAGAGGGGGTGATGAAAATGGTGAAGAGACAGAACGACCAATACAACCACGAAGGTAGCAGACTCCGCACCATCACCAACTATCCCCTCCCTTTTTCCACCTTGCACAATTATAACGCATATACGACAAAATAAAAATCAAAAGAGGAAATCATCGGCTCGCCCCTGACTCCCGTCTTCACTCGAATAGAACGCCCCGATCATTATCGCTGTATCTCGACTGATTGCCGCAAATACATCAACAAAGGCCGAGTGTTGTATTCCGGTGAAAACGGTATAGGGAGGACAACGCAATTGAAGGCGCACCTCCCTCGCTTGTGCGCAACAGACAGAAAAAAAATGGAGAAGGAAAGCAAACAGGCCGAGGCGATTACGACAGAATCTACCCGAAGATTCCGACTCGATGCATAAACTCACAGCAGCAAACTCTCGAGAGTAAAGGATCGGTGGAGCACTAATCACGGTTACGCTCTGATAGGAGTCGTCATTTTTTTTTTCCAGTTAAGGACAAAAAAAAATTGAGTGTCGCAGCCTTCTCGTTGGAGTCCCGCGCCTTACTGCATTTGCCTAAAAGCTCGCACCTATTACTTATTTTCAACAACACGCAAACGTTGGCTACTACATCTCTTTTTTTTTTTCCCCAGAAGTTCTTTTTGACACTGCGGTGCGGTGTCCTGCCCGTCTTCGGACATTCCCGCCAACGTGCACGGCTCTCCCCCTTTTCCTTAAAGGACTCCATCCTTGTCCTCCTCGAAGAGAAAAGCAGCGATTCCTTTCCTTACTCCTAAGGTGCCATCCCATCTTTCGTAAATTTGAAAAAAATAAGAATCAATAAAATTCCAAGACAACACCAAAAAATATAACATATGTTTAACGATAATACATATTTTATATGTATATCGTCAAACAGAGCTGCCCAGTAATATGAAACAGTTCGTTACAGCGCCTCGTTTGTTGTCCTCTTCTCCCTCCCTCTCTGCCTACGGTTTACCGGGCAGCTCTGTTTGACGATATATATACATCGAGAGCTGCCCAGTAAACCGTAGGCAGAGAGGGAGGGAGAAGAGGACAACAAACGAGGCGCTGTAACAAACTGTTTCGTCGGAGTTTCACCGACTCCTCAGGAGGCTGAATATATACATATCCAATACTATAATACCGGTTTGCCGATATATACATACATATATATATATATATCGTCACATCAATATCAGAGCGCAAAAGTGAAAAAAAAAACAAACGGAAGCAAAAGGATATCAATTCATTTTTTGTCCTTGGACATTCCCACCAAAGTGCAAAGTTCGACTACCGATTGAAATAGGAGTAATACTCGGACGAGTATACCGCCAAGTAAACATTGTTACAGGTTCAATACCGTCGTCCCCCGAACATAACGCACCCTAATAATGAATGTATACAAGTTATCTTTCCGGCCCGACACAGTCAAAATGAGGGTGCGTTGTGTTCGAGGGAAGACGGGTAGATAATGAAAAAAAAATAGAAATATACTCATTTAAGAAATAAATACTGCCAACCAAGTGACCGTACGTTGTTGCCATTAACTGTACGAATTCGAATAGGGAGCACACAGGCGAATCCAGCGCGCCAACTGTGTACGAAATGAAAGTACTCGTACGAATATACCGCCGACTGTACGAATACAGTACGAAATACAGTTCAAATACAGTGCGGATACAGTACGAATATACCGTCAAATGCACGTACCGCCACCTGTACGACTACAAGTGCGAGTATACCACCAATTCTGCGAATACAGTGCGAGAATAGCGACAAGTGCACTCGTTGTTAAGTGGACTGGGACGTGATATACAAGCAATCTGCGATCTAAGCGATCCCTAGATTTTCTCTCAACTATGTAATGGTTTCGTACGCAAAGCTTCTCTATAACCCCCCACTCTCGCGCCCGGAAAATTCTACGTAGTAGATTAGCCGGAAGATCCCCAAAGCCTGTTGAAAGGCGTCACGTGGTACAATTAAGATATCAAGATTTTGGTATACACCGAAGGACAACAACGTACATATACGACTTGCGCAGTGTTCCGTAAACAAATACATCTGAGTTCAGCAAGCAGCGCACAAAAGGCATTTTCGAGCCTCGTGGTTCTTTCTCAGGTTTGAATTCCCTCCGTATCTTTTCGCCGCCTCTTTGACTTTTCCCGCGCAAATTTCTTCTCTACGATTGGCGGAATCGGGACCTAATCTTCGGAATGATTCGCTTTCTCTATCTATTTCTTTATCTATACGATCTCACAGGAGGCGCAACTTCGTACTGTTGTTCATACTACTCTTTCCCACGAGAGTAAAAACATCCGTGATTGAACATTCTTTGCTTGGACTACATAAGAGCCTGCATTTCTTTTCTTTCTGTCCTATAACCCTCGTTACCAGAACATATCATCGCAAGCATAATCATCCTTACAGAGGCATCACACGTGGTCCTTGCAATCAATCAAGCAATCAATCAAACAATCAATCAAGCAATCAATCAAGCAATCAATCGTCGTCTTCGCAACCCATCATCGCCTTCGCAACCCGCCATCGCCGTCATCATCCGTCGTCGCCACAATCTTCCCATCATCGACGACACACCATCGCCATGCTCTGCTGAATATACGACTCATGCCAACGACGTTAGGTTCTTTAAATTCAGTATGAGGTGTAGACAGCACAACATCGCCATCGCCGTCACTGCAACTCGTTCACATCGTCTACAAACAACATCGCCATCGCCAACGACATTGCCATCATCATCCCCTCGTCATCATCAGGCATCCTCATCATCCTCGTCCTTCACCGTCATCGTCCATCGTCGCCATCCTCATTGCCTTCATCATCCTTCGTCGCCGGTGCCACCTCTCGTTAATCATTATCGACACCCAACGTCGACATCGCTCATCAATGCCCACAGTCGCCGCTGTCATTCTTTGTCCAAACGCCATTCACATTCTCCAATGGCATCCAACCTTATCACCCACCATCTCTTGTATTGCTCCATCCATCTTCCCGCCACCGCCTTCTTCCACCCCTCGCCATCATGACTCCATCATCGCCTTCCCCCCTCGTCATCATGACTCCATCACCTACCTCTTATACACATCTAGATGTGTATAAGAGACAGAATCCCGCCATTTTTCCATCTTTGTCCAAACGCCATTCACATTCTCCAATAGCATCCAACCTTATCACCCACCATCTCTTGTATTGCTCCATCCATCTTCCCGCCACCGCCTTCTTCCACCCCTCGCCATCATGACTCCATCATCGCCTTCTCCCCTCGTCATCACGACTCCATCACCGCCTTCTCCCCTCGTCATCATGACTCCATCATAGCCTTTTTCTCCCCGTCATCGCCTGCCATTGCTCCATCGTCTTTACCCGCCACTGCTCCACCGCCTTTTTCCCGCCATTTCTCCATCGCCTTTTTCTCGCCATTTCTCCAACGCCTTTTTTCCCGCCATTGCTCCACCGCCTTTTTTCCCGCCATTGCTCCACCACCTTTACCCCGCCATTGCTCCACCGCCTTTTTCCCGCCATTGCTCCACCGCCTTTTTTCCCGCCATTTCTCCACCACCTTTACCCCGCCATTGCTCCACCGCCTTTTTCCCGCCATTGCTCCACCGCCTTTTTTCCCGCCATTTCTCCACCGCCTTTTTCCCACCATTGCTGAATTGCCTTTTTTCCCGCAATTGCTCCATCGCCCTGTTTTTTCCCGTAATTGCTTCACCGCCTTTTTCCCGCCATCGCCTTGGGCGCTAACAATCATATCAAGAACAAGCATTCTTCCCCTCAGCACCCAGTTTGCCGCGCGCCATCTTCATTAATGATACCTATCATTATCAATTAGACAAACCGCATTAACGACCCGCCCCCATTTCTCGCCACCACATAAGACAATCGCATTCTCTCCTGTTGCTTATATGTTCAGCGGGAATTGTATCGCATGAGAATTGGGATCTCGTGATGATACTCACCAGAATTATCACCCAGAAAGTGTAGTAGGAGAACGTGAGCACGCTGAATAAGAGAAGTGCCACGCCAACAGCTCGATCACTCATCATCCCTCTAATCGAATCAACTGGAAGCAAATGCCCACCAGCCAACGTGTTAGGCAGTTCCGCTCCGCTCCGCTCCTCTCCGCTCCCCTTCAACACGAACACTGCGGGAGATGTCACCTGTCACCTCTCGTTCTTCACAATCTGATCTGACCTGTCATACAAGGGGGCCACAGATCCGCGGCTACACACGACCCCAAGTCAACCCTTCTCCCCCGACCCTTGACTCCACCACTTTCCCTTCACCAACCGAGCTCATCACTAGTAATTCTCATTCTCACTACAACCCCACATCATGCTAAGCCAAACGCGGACGCTGCTGAATACACAACCCCTCCGTCAATATTAGGCATAGGGTAGGCACACTTTCCCTCACTGGCGCGCCTGCGCACCTGTTGCGATAGGGTAGTAGCGTGCCCGCCTTCCTTCCGCCCTAGAGCGAATATGATCGTGTCGCGACCACAGCGGTCCCCGAGGCGCGCCCAGTGCCCGAGGGGCAGCCACTGCAAAATTCAAGCTCCCGCGCACTCCGCGGAGAGTAGTCGGGCCGGGGCCTGTGCTCTTACCTTCTTCCAAAAGGCGGTAGACACATTTGCTGCTCGTGCCCAGAGCATTCTCGCACCATGGGAATTTCCTGGAAGTATCTGACCGTAATTACGGTCATCCGTGGATGTATGTAGCCCACACTGGTATGGGTAACAGTGGAACCTCATAGTTGAACCTCGTTCCAGACCAGCCTAATCGTTCCAGACCAGCCTAAGACAAGCCGAACCAGAACGACTCGGGCCGGACCCGGGTAGGCTCTGGCCGCGGCAGACGGCTCAACTGCCCACTCACGCAGATAGACCTTGGGGCCAAGAACGTACTCGGCCCACTGGTAGGTTACTTGAACGGTGAACGTCAAGGCTACCGGTAGGTTGGTCAGAGACCGAAGTAGCCCTTCCTGCCCATGTGTGGGAATTGACTTACCGTGAGGGCACGCATGCACCCGTAGTTTGTCTGTTGATGTGGTTGGTGAAGGGTAAGGTAGGGATTGTGTTGTGTAAGGAAAAACAAAAAGAAGTTGTGTTTATCTTTTGCCAAATTCTCTACACACAACTCCAAGAGTGTGTGTGTGTGCATGTGTGCGGATGCGTGTGTATGTGAGAGTCTCTGTGTGTGTATGTGAGTGTGTGTGTCTGCATGTGTGTGTGTCTGCATCCCCACAGGCTCGCACAAGAGAGAGAGAGAGAGAGAGAGAGAGAGAGAGAGAGACAGACAGAGAGAGAGAGAGAGAGAGACCCGCATGCGCGTGCTCGCACAAGAGAGAGAGAGAGAGAGAGAGAGAGAGAGAGAGAGAGAGAGAGAGAGACATACAGCATGCAGCGTGTCAGTGACGGCGAGCACAAGGTAGGCGCTAATCTAAAAAAACATAAAAAAAAGGTCATGTTCTTTTGAATACAAGAGTTGCTTTTTGACATTCAAATAGAAAACACATGCTTTGTATTCGAAGTGCCCTTTCTGTGAGAAAGAGAGACAGACAGACTGCAATGACTAGCTGATTTCTGCTGCCGAGATTCAGTGCGAGGCTGTACACTAACCGTAGGGTTAGTTTTGTGATTTCGTTTGGCTGAGGGCTAACCGACAGGTCCGTCTGTGAGGAAATTCGTGAGGGACAGATCTGCAAATCCGGGGCAATATAGGTCCGGTACTAATCGAATTCCTACAGCTACCCTAACTGCCTACAGCAGGCCCGGGCTACCCCTAGGACAGACAGGCCCTAAGTGGCCTATACTGCTATACGGTCCTATAGCCTATAGCCAGGTAAGGTAGAGGCCGAGAGGCCGAAACAGCAACGGTACCGGTCAGTCCAGTCAGTCCAGTCTAGGTCTAGGCTAACGTAGGAGGTCTATAAGTCCGGTAGGGAAAATGGTTTGGGACTTTTGGCGATTTTTTTCGCGTTGCAGCGTTCGTGGCCAACCAAGTTTCGCAGCGCTGAAAGTCTACAGCGGCACCTGAGACTTCAGCTGCGTGAGGCAGCCATAGCCGGCCTACCTGAGACAGCCATAGCTGGGGCTGTGCTCAGCGCATCTACCCCCTGGGGGATATCTGCGTTGGCAGGACTATATCGAGGCTCTTCACCGGGTACATGTGGGTACTGCTGCTACGGTAGCAGCCAAGCAGCCATAGCTGCCTTCTTCATCGTCAAAGTGACTCATCGGCGCTGGGCACTACATCCCTGTTCATGATCTGCATCTGGGTGGATGGCGCTGGCCCCTGGGAGGCTGTTTGAGTGCAGCGCTAGACTCTAAGAGTGTAGTAGTGAGTGGAGTGTGTGGTACTGAGGTGGCGAGACACTGGGTTGAACTCTGAAACGATAATTGGGGTTAATTGAGTTGAGTTGGCTCATCATCTGTGTCTTATTCCAATTGTGATCTTCGCAGTGTCATATTGTGATTGGTTGTTGGGAGTGTGTCAGAGAGAGAGAAACACGAAGTGTATTCTCCCCTTTTGTGCATGGTTGCTATTCCGCTGCTTATCTCTGGTCTGTGTGCAGTTGGACTCTGTCTCCTCCTCCCCTTTATCTCATGCATGTATGGGCGTGTGTGAGTTCGTCTGAGTGTGAGTGGCAAACAAATTGTCAGACAACCAAGTTCATAACAGTTGGTATCAGAGCGGAGATTGGACTTGAAGCTCAGAGGGTTGAGCGCAACAGGGGCATCCTCTTCTTCTGGCCCTAACTGGCGAGAAGTTTCATGGTGGCTCTGCATCTTCAGTGAAGATCCAAGAGGGAAGAGGATATACAAGAGGTGATTGCAAAGCATTAGTGTGCGATTGATCAGGCACCCTGAGCTTGTCTGAGTGCCTGACAGGAAGTGGCGAGAATAGGGGTATTTCGCCATCCACCCTGTTGACCTCAGTTGATGACTGGGATCAGGGTGGCGAATTACACCCTAATCCAGTGATAACTGGTGGCGGCTTCAATCCCAGTATAGCGCTGAGGGAGAATTGATCGTAGGACCAATCTCCTTCTAAATTAACCCTACTCAGGGCTAAATTTAGCACCAGCGGCTTACCCCTGCAGTGGCGAGATATCTTTAGGAAAGTTTTCTCTCGCCACTGAGCCAGATTCACTGAATCTGAGAGTTGGGGGTGAATCGCCACATCATACTAGACCAGATCAACAAGTTTCAGGAGACTCTACGCGCGGGAATCAGTGGAAGAGTGTCTGCATGCAAGTGACGGGACCAGGGTATGGCAGCCATAGCCTGAGCTTCACCATCCACTGAGTCAAACACTTCAAGTGAGTGCGTTCCGTGTGAATCCCTGAGTAGCGATTAGATTAGCATTAGTAAAGTCTGAATTGATGGTCTGTTTGTCAGTAGAGTCACAGTTTTGAAACTGTCGGACTTCAAGACAGCCATAGCCATCTTCTTCCTCCCTACCCTGACTCATATCTCACCATCCATTGACCTGTTCTGACTCAAAATTGTTATGGGACTGTATGACAGTATTGCGTTGCACCCTGTATGATCATCTTGTGAGTCCTGTACAGAAAAAGTAGTGATACTGTGGATTTGAGTTTTGCGCTGCGTTTATTTATAGTCTGTACTATCTAGGGTCAGTCACAACTCAAAATCTGTCCGTCAGAACTCAAGTCTGTCAGTCTGGGGTGAATTGCAATTCAATTCCTGTCATCTGTGTTGAAGCGTTAGTCCAGAATCAGTGAATTTGAGCCATTACAGTGAAATCCTGAAATTTGTCATACCTGGGAGTATTTTTGTTGATGTCAACAGTGGCAAAATTTGAGTTTAGGGCTGTCAGAGTGTAGTTTACTGCATCGCTACTACTTGTTGTTGTGTTTCAGTCACTTCTTGCCTGTATCCATCACTACCACTAATCTTCTTTGTTTTCTGATGGGCCCTGAAATGTTAGTGACCTCTGGATTGCACTGAAAGAGTGTGTTGCAACTTCAGTGAAGATTCAGGATCAGGTATAGGAAATCGTGAATGAATGATTTTACTTGACACCGAGTCTGCCTGACTACTGACCCCAGTGGTTATGTTCCATCCCTAACCGCTTGTGCCCACCGACCCACCTTTCCCTGTGAACTGACAGTGCAACGATTTTGGAGTATCTGAGTGAGCTGTAAATCGTTGCACCTTTTGCTGTTTCACTTAAATGACGAACGGCACTGACGCAGGTGCAGGGCAGGTGGAGGTTGTTGTCAAGGATGAAGGGGAACCTTCACCCTCAGCTCCTCCTCCCCCTCCCCTGACCCCTGCGCAGCGACGTAAGAGAGAGATTCAAGAGAAACTGCGAGAGCAACAGGCGCTACTCGCAGAAGCAGAAAGACAGGAGGCAACTGAAATGAAAGCTGCAACAGATGCTTCTCGCAAGGAGTTTCTGCTGCATCAAGATGAGAAGACTATGACAGATGAGAGAGTGGCCCAGTGCACCAGGTATTTGGCTGAGCTGGTAATTCTACGGAACAAAATTGCATCCAGCCACTTCACTAACTGGGACGAAAGAATCCAGCATCTGGAGACCAGAATGAGCGACCTGGGAACTCAGCAGTCCAAGATCCTGGACTCGATCCAGAATCTGACTGCTCAGTTAACAGCCGCCAATCCGATCTCCCCTCTGGTCCCTGTGGTCTCCTCTCCCAAACCCAAAAGGCCTTTTCAGCCTCCTTCTCCACCTCCTGGATCTTCTCACTCCTCTCACCAGTCATCTCCCTCTGTCTCCTCCCAGGCCAAAGCCACCCCTCCTCCCACCTTTGCTGATGTTGTTGTTGGGGACCAGCGAGGCCCCAAGATCCCTGCCCCCAACAAATTCAAGGGGGATGACCCCAAAGTTGATGTTGGGGACTAGGCAGTAGGAACCCGGGCATATCTGAAGGGGTTCCAGTGCCCAGAACAGCAAAAGGTGGCCACCGTTGTGGGGCTGCTGGAGGGCCCAGCCTAGAAATGGGCTACATCTACAGCTAGTGCCCAGCAGCAGACCCTGGAGGATTAGGCATTGGCACTGGGAGTTGATAAACTTTTGCAGGCCCTGGAGGAGAGGTTTGCAGACAAAGAGCGTGTCCGCAAAGCTGCTGATAAAATTGTACGTCTGGGCCAACAACGTTACAGCTGCAGTCTGCAGGCCCTATTTGCTGAATTTGAACAGCTGACCTCCACTCCTGGATTAGTAATGTATGTTGATGATCTGCTGACAAACTTTTGCAGGGCTGCGCTTGAAAAGTTCTCTGTTGCACTGTATAGCGCAGGGCACAGAGACTGGAGGTCATTCGGCCGCGCAGCACTGGACATGGAGGCTAAACTGCATGTTTAGGCCCCTTCAAGTGACCGGAAGAAAGGTGCTTTCCCTCGCAGTGGTAGAAGGGGAAAAGCGGCCTTGGCACACGCAGGATCTGCGTCATCATCTGATGCAGGATCCCGGCCTTGTACACCGCC